TCGTGTTAAAATTGACATGTAATATTTAAACAGCTTGGATTCTATTTAGTTCAAATGACCTTCATAAACTCCGGATATGAATGAGTTCCGGTGAGGGGAAGAAAGCTTCGATAAATGGAGGAAGGTTGCTAAGTTATATTGTCTACAAAACTGATCTCTGATGCCGACGGCATGTAGTTTTTGTACCGTACTTATATAGTATTAACCTTGTTCTCCACTAAAATAAGTATCATATCGAATTTAAAACTAACAGCTGTACTAGTACTACCTTATTAGGTTTTTACTATTTCATAAATGTTCTAAGCTCCTCACGTCTGAGTCTTAAAGTTATGTCTTAAGATTTTCTGCCATTCTCTATACCGTTATAGAAATTTAAATGTAGAAGTGTAGAAAAAAGATTATCTAACTATATTACGTGTAGTAGTATGTTTAGTAAAGAATACAGAGGCGTTTTGATAAATTATTCGTTATTGTTAAGCTAGATCTAACCAGGTTCGAACGATCTTACAACGTTTTTACAGTATTGTGTAAAGGACATCAACTGTGAGTTTGCGAGCGCTCAATCAGGGAGACGGAGACTCGGCCATCTTCGAATTGATCGAACGGCCCATTTTGCATTAAGTAGCTTAGAAATAAACTCAAGCGTCATGAATCTACATAGACGTAATGAAGTCTAATGCGTATTCAGTATTAATAATGTAGGCAAATGTTGCTGAACATTCTCACTACCGTAGAGACGGTCGGGTAACGGCAACAAGATTCTTTATTAAACTTTTCAGGTGAATGCTTTCATAACTACTAGTTCTCGAACAATTCTAAATCGATTTTTATAGGGCTACCACAGTGCTTAATAAAGAAGACGCTAGTATTTGTACTCTGTTCATTTTAGCAAGAAGTTTTACAAAAACAAGCCTTATAATAGGTTTTTATGGGTGCAATAAGGTGATGATTGGAATACATTTTCAAAATAACATATATTAATGTAGAAGCACTATAAGATATCGCACTCAGTAAGCTTAGTTTATTCTTTTAATTAATTTATAAATAAGCTGTATGGTTAAATAACATCAGATGAGCCGCATCTTCGTTGGTCCCCTTTCCTATATACAAAAAAAATGTTTTTATGTTTACATTAAAAGTCGTGCTAAATTGAACAGAGTATAGGAGTATAAATGTAAATTTAAACGCCAGTGTCAACGGAGATTAGCTATTTGCTCAGGATAGGATTATATAGTACACGAGTATGTGTGCAAGCACAGATGTACTCTCTATTCTCTCAATCTCATAGTTCGATGGGACGGCAATCCGACACGACCGGAGAGATCAGGTGCAGGACCATCGGCTTTACGTGCTTTTCGAAGAACGGGGTTTTAGCACCACCAACTTCCTGATGCTACTGAGAATTTCTTTATAGAAAAATCCATTAACTAATTTTGGCTTAACCTGGGATTATAGGATTCAAACCCGGGACCACATAATCGGCTGACGCGCTAAGGTGGTGGTCTCCTATAAACGCCATCGGCCGCTTACAGCGTCACGCCGTACGCCGCGTTACGATGCTTACTATAGAAATGTACTGTTGTGGTCTCTTTCACAAGCTGATGTCGGCGTATGGACGTCGTAGGCGGCGTTAAGACGCTTTGCGCTGCGTCTCTAGTTATTTCGAACCATTGCAGCGTGAAGGTCGTGTCTAGCGTCAGTACAAAATGACAAAATTTAATAAAGAAAAAGACGAGTTACTGTATTATTATTATGTTTAAATTGTTCCTGATTAATACGAAAATATTCAGTAAATTTAGAATTGCTGTCTTTTAAGTGCTTTATTATCAATAGCTGGAAACATCCTTCTTCATATCTCTTCATAAATAATCGGTGCCTTGTTGCATTTATCATTCTTCGTATACGGTCGTCTTGTGCCTCTTCTTCAAGTAACACAAGCGCCCCCAAAAGTATTGAATTTATATCCATTTTATGTACAAATATGACACACAACCACACGTGAGCACTGTCGGCTACTTAATTGTTGCTCGATCGAAAGTCTAGACGTCGCGTCGTCCGTTTGTAAAATATGTATTGACCGCTGACGCTGTGCCTGGCGTTCAGACGCCGATCGGAACGTTACGCTGAAGTCGGACGTCGCGTATAGCATTTAATAGGAGACCGTAGCCTAACGACTACTAGAGTAACGATACAGCCAAATAGTCACTCGAATTTAAAGACAGATGTTGGCAATATATTCGGCTTTATTGCAGTTGTACCTACGCATAACGAACGGCGAAGCAAACCATTTGATTTGAATGCGTGGTATATCGGCTACAAAGCTGGAGACAGGCCGAAACATTTGGTTATCCGATTGTGGAAGAGAGGGAGGAATTATATTCAGTAAATTCTGTACACACTCAGAAATATATTTGATGAAACACATTTTCTATAACCAGATTAATCACCAATTAGTCTCTTAACATAGCTCTGAGTCCAAACCTACTTACTAGGTGGCATTATGCAGCACCATAAACCCAATGAGCCAGCCTATAAACGGCAGCCATACTCCATACACGACCAGACTTGCGTTTTATATAGAGTAAGCAGCTATTGTGCTTTTATATTGGGCAATATTTCTTTTTGTGTACATTCGCTTAATATTATTAAAAAAACACGCTACTCTACTTCATTGTAGTGTGTAAATAAGTATTTTTTTTTTCCAAAACGCATGTAGACTGCGGCGATCATACTTTGAAACTATTGATTTTACAAAAAGAAATATTACTTAAATTATAGACAATTTTCTCTATTTTGATTTATTATATAAATATTTTTATCGTAAAATGAGTCGAAAAGAGAGTATTGTCAAAAAAAAACTGTTTTTAGGCGTCATTATTCCCATACGGCAGCGTGAGCGGCAAAGATACGAAGTAGCAAAGTAAAATTTAGGAAAGAGCACACCGAAATCTATAACATTACCAATTTTCAAAACTCCCGGAAAACTTTCCTGGCAAAACTACAAATTGACTTACACAGAGACTATAACTATACAAAACCATTTTTGTACCGTAAAACTAACACTGTCCGATTTCATCTCTCGGTTAATTAATAATAGTAATTACGTAATAGGTATATTATATTGCTATAATATACCTATGACGTGATAATTGACGTTCAACTTTTTCAACGTAATTATATTTAGATCAAATAAATAAGTAAAAAGAATGCGAGAGGCAAAATTCAGTAGCCATTCAACGTGTGTGCTGAAAAATAAAACTTAATGGTACAGTGGCAATGGTAACCCTAAGGCGAAGCCACAATCGCTGACACAGATTGCGATTCGTTCACGCAGAGTTCGTGAGGCGCCGTCGGAGCACCCCATTTAAAAGGCAAATACGGTCACGATGCGCTCACGCGTTTGATATCTTCTTGATACACGCTTGTGTAATGTGCTCTTAAATTTAGAGTATGCAGCGTCATCATTGATGTGTTTGGTATAAATCTATATCTCATTGAATAAAACTAAATTTACGGATTCTATCGCGTTTAATCAGTTATTTTTAATTCCCGACGTTTCGGGTGCTTTACAACACCCATGGTCACGGGGGGGAGGACCATGGGTGCTGTAAAGCACCCGTGGAGAATTAAAAAAAGTAAAAATAATTAATTAAACGCGATAGAATCCGTAAATTTAGTTTTATTCTATGTGAAGTGTTCGCGTAAATTTAAGAAATCACTATATCTCATTATTAAGTTATAGGTAACTTCTTCCGCTGGTTTTATATTTATAAGTTATTTTATATAATGTACCGTGTTATGGCGGCGTAAGAAAAATTCATCTGCGCTTTTCATGCCATGGGTGTCGTATGAAGCCACTAAGTATAGGAAATGGCAATAACATCTTATAGCTTCTGATAGATGGCGGTAAAATCATATCCTTTGCGCCAATCATCAATCCGTCTACTAAGCGTGGCAGATCTCTCTTACGACGGAAGCGGCTGGTGTCAACAATGACGGGCTGATGAAAATTAAAGAGTACTTATTTGTAATAATACGACGTAGCGATACAACAAAGAGATTTCAGTGTTGCTAGTTCGCGCTGCAGATAAATTTTCTGGACCAGTTAGACGATGTACATCGAACTCGCATGGTGCTACCACCAATTACTGAGTAACAAATGAACAACGAACCAATCGGACAGCGGCATAATTCTGTCGCCTTTGCGCTACATACCGTCAAGCGGACCTAAAAACGTTAACTGCACATGTGAAGGTCAGCGCTTATAAACTGTATCATTTTTAATTCATGGCTGTTTCGACATCAGTCTGGAGCAACAACTTCCGACATTTTTATCGTATTAAGATGGTTGATAAGTTGAAAGTCCACCTGACGGTGATTGCAGAGAAAAAACGCCAAGATGCGTTATCACCCCTGCAGACTTCATTGTGGTTGCACCCAGAGTCTCCTAGATTAAAGCGGAGTCCAATCAGCTAGTTATTTCCCTTAAAGTTAAGTAAAGTAAAGTTACAGCCTATATACGTCCCACTTCTGGGCACATGCCTCCCCTCATTTCTGAGAGGATTTTAGGGCAAGGAAGTGTCCGTCGCGCTGCCCCAATGCGTGTTGGCGAACTTCACATGTGTTCGCTGGTTTTCTTACGATGTTCTCCTTCACCGACGAGCACGTGGTAAATCAGCACTTGAAATTGCAATTAACAATTTCATTGGTGCAGGCGGGGATCGAACCCGAGTTACTCGCGTTGTGTTATATTTACAGCGAGCGTTAACTATCTGAGCTACCACGGCTCACTTTTCTATTTATTTAGTTTAGTTATTACCCTTAGTCTGCTTTAGTGATTCCCACGTAACGACGTGAGTTGATGGAATTTTCCATGTCCAATTATGTTTTGCATGCAAATGTATTAAAATTTGCCCGTTGTGATTCCAGGCTGAGGGTTGTGTGGCGGGTGCGCGGGCGCCACGGATGCGGCGCGGGCGTGCGATGCGCTAGGGGCCAGTATGGTGGGAGTGGGAGTGGTGGAAAGCGGCGGGGGCGGCGCACCCGACGGGTACTACGGCGACTATTACCCACCCGAGTACTACGTGCCGCCCGAGATGTGCCAACACCCGCAACAGCATGCGCAGCACGCGCACATGTGCACAGTGCACACTGAATACGGTATATATCTTAGCAATATCTTCTCTACAGAATCGTATATTATTTATATTGAAGTAAAGGTGACACAAGGGCACGCAGTCTAACTGATGGTAAGAGGATACTGTAGGCCATAGACAACTATATTTATCATTGATTAAGGATCAAAATGATGATTCTTGATCCCTGACGACTATGATTAAGTGCCTAGGAGAGTTAGGTCCTTAGTCAGACTTTTGTGATCATATTGCGTCAACTAGTTACTACACGGACTTTTTTTTACAAACTACATATTTTATGGAGAATTTGTCTTGAATGTGTGAAAAATGGCACGGATTGGCCAATTCCTTCTGCTCTTACATCTGATTTTATACTACACTTGCTTGCCAGTACGAGGCTGTTACTCAAGAAACTATCTTCCCCATCGGTTGTCGGTTGTTCGAGCTATTGCAATTTCAGGTCATTTATCCACTAATTAACTTTTATAATATGGGCAAACTATTTAACTATAAAATTACATTTATTATAAAAAAGAAAAAAAAACAACAAATAAAGTCGATTGCAGGTAAATAGTTACATAACATAACGAATGACCTTGGTTTCGTAAAGTTTATTTTCATCACGTTTTATATTATGAGCATACTTATATTTGTAACGCCTCTCGCTTTCCGCAATCTATGGGAGTGATTTCGTGAAAAGGGACGGAAGTGTGTAACAGGAAGCCCGGAAAGCGCGCGTTTTTGATTTTACCAATTAGCGCGCGCGGTGGTGATAAAGTGTGCTGTTATTTAAACTAATTTAGGTATTGGAGTAAATTATATTAATAAATGTAGTTGTATATTAATAAATGTAAACTATTAATAAGTGTCTGAAAACAGTGCAGATCGATGGTAAAAAATGCAAGTGAGTAATAATAATTCGTCGTATTTAGTTTTTTTTAATGTGAGGTTAATTTCTATCGCTGCTCAATTGATTTTTTTAATTTTGATTAAAACTAAACTTTATTATTTTTATCACAGGTATTCCCTTAAGTATCCTTTTCTTATACAAAACAATATTTTATATAACTAAAATAACTAAAAAGTTCATAAAACATAAACTTTAAACAATGCAGGTTTTCACATTTCTCTTATGCGATTTTGTCCATATCTTCTAAACGGTTTATTAGATTTTCATAATTCCGGTTGGAATATTACCTAAGCCTATCTTTAAAACTTTTAAAATTATTGAAATATCTCCACAAACAAAAATTCTCATTTTCAACTTATGTAATTTTGATAATTGATAGAATTAGGCGTTACTTTGCAGAAATCCATTATAATAAAAATATAAATTACTTCGCAACCTTCCGCTAGCTAAATGCAATGATGTGTCTTACCTGGATTGAAGAGCACCTCCCGCCCTCCCTCAATTGCATGCACTAACTCCGTCACCACTAGTCCCAGCACCACTTCTCCCAACACCACTACTCCCGGCACCACTACTTCCAACACCACTATTCCAGGTAAGACACACCATCGACGATGATACGACACATGTTTCGCCTCTACACGAGGCATACTCAGGTGATGTAGACTCTACGGCGTCTGACCGCTAAGTCCGCTAAGTACTTATAGACAAAACATAAGAAACCATCCAACCAATTTCAATGAAAATATTTGTGTGTGTTTGGATGGATCCCTAGACGGTTTATATCTACATTTCGACCCGGTAGATGGCACTGTTGTCCAGATCCATAAATCACCAGTGCAAAGCTGAGGCGCATCGCTAGTAATAAATACATTTAAATTAAGCCTAGTTTTTGTAATCCTTACACAAACAGTTTAAAACATCTTACTTCCTCACTATTTATCATTGTGTAATAACATATAGATAAACATGTTAATTCCCAGTCATTTTATTATGATGTATAGGTACTACTTAGCAATCAACCAAAACATATTAAAACAAAGTCTTGACACCGCTCCTGTCTATATATGTCAGTCAATCATCAAAGTTCAAATAATTTATTAAACTAAGTTTGTATAAAAGGGGTATTATAGTATAAAGGAATTTATGGATGACAATTGACAATAACCCGTAGGTAAGGTGATCGCTACCAAGCTATTTCTAATTTGTTCTGTGTTGTTAATTATGACATACATGATTGTAAGCTGGCTTTTTTTTAAAAGACACACTTGGTATTTTGCTGGTTCTCTTCAAGTCAGAGGTTTTTTCCGGACCAGTGGTAAATATAAAAAAGTGACTTTCAATCAGTATTATTCGTAATCTAAATTGAATAAAAGGTTTCTGTTTCTGTACCTACTACTGTTAATAGAATACTTAAATAAATTATGATTTACAATAATAAATAGAGTTAGTTACCTACATTATCTTTTGTTTTTTATAATACAACCACTTTAAAACATATTTCTTTTTGTGTGTTGGTAATATCATAAATATAAATAGACATTAATAGTAATAATAATAGTAGCGTGTAGTGGCTGTTGAGAATATCCACTACCCCATATCTTCCCGTGGGTGTTGTAAGAGGCGACAGAGGGAGACAGGCAGGAGATAGGCAGCAGCATCTTCCTAATAACAACAATAATGTAATAAAAAAAACTGCGGTTGCCAACCCGCTCGCCAAGCGTGGCAACTATGGCAAATATCCCCCCATAACAGAAAAACGGCCCCCACCCGAGGGGATCACCTGGGAGTCGTTCCACCTACGACGACTCGACCTGGCAACATATAACGCACGCACCCTGAGGACTGACGAGAAGATGCTGGAGCTGGAAGAAGAGGTAGACAAGTTGCGCTGGCATAATATTGGATTATCCGAGGTCCGAAGAGAGGGGGAGGACACGGTATTCCTCGAGTCCGGCAACTTGTTCTATCACCGGGAGGGCGACCATCTGTCCCAAGGATGTGTCGGATTTATCGTCCACAAGTCTCTAGTCAACAACGTTGTAAAGATTGAGAGTGTGTCGACGAGGGTCGCGTACCTGATACTCAGAATCACCAAACGGTATTCGCTGAAGGTCATACAGGTTTACGCACCAATCTCGGCACATCCCGATGAGGAGGTGGAGGAAATGTATGAGGATATTTCCAGAGCCATGCATTCCTCCAAAACCCACTACACGGTTGATGAGAGACTTCAACGCAAAACTAGGCACAAGAGAAAGCGGTGAGCTGAAGTTAGGAAAATTGGAATAGGGCAACGGAACCGTAGGGGCCAGCAGCTGGCCGACTTTAAGGAGAAAGAGGGACTCTTTATTATGAACTCTTTCTTCCAGAAGCGGCCCCACAGGAAGTGGACCTGGTCGAGCACCGACGGTTCGACAAAAAATGAGATTGACTTCATTATAACGACCAGAGGCCAACTGTTCAGTGATGTCTCAGTGATCGCAAGGGTGAAATCTGGCAGCGATCACCGAATGGTTAGAGGCACACTGAACTCCATGGTGGCACTACTCCGGAGGTGTGGAGCGGAAGTGCGGTGGTCTTGTTCTTCAAGAAAGGTGACAACGCCCTCTTGAACAACTACAGACCGATATCCCTTCTGAGTTGCGTCTACGTGCTGTTTTCGAGAGTCATTACGAATCGTCTCGCACGCAGACTCGACGACTTCCAGCCTCCCGAACCAGCCGGTTTCCGAAAAGGCTTTAGTACCATAGACCACATACATACACTTTGGCAAATTGTACAGAAGACCGAAGAGTACAATCTGCCACTTTGCCTGGCGTATGTGGACTATGAGTAAGCCTCAAAGCCTGTGATTCCGTCGAAATTTGGGCGGTGCTACAGTCTCTTCAGCGGTGCCAAGTTGACTGTCGGTATATCGAAGTGCTGAAGTGTTTGTACAGTAGGGCTACGATGGCTATCCGAGTACAAAACCAGAGTACGAAACCTATCCAACTGCAGAGAGGTGTAAAACAGGGTGACGTTATTTCCCCGAAACTCTTCACCGCTGCATTGGAAGACGTATTCAAGCTACTGGACTGGAAAGGATACGGTATTAACATCAATGGCGAGTACATCACTCACCTTCGATTTGCCGACGATATAGTCCTTATGGCAGAATCGCTGGAGGACTTAAGCACTATGCTCAATGACCTCAATAGTGCCTCCCAACGGATAGGTCTAAAGATGAACATGGACAAAACAAAGATCACGTTTAATGTCCATGTCACACCTATGCCGGTAGTTGTTGGGAGCACTAAGCTCGAAGTTGTTGACGAGTACGTTTACCTGGGACAACTTACTGGGGTAAGTCCAACTTCGACCGAGAGGTCAATCGACGGATTCCACTCGGCTGGCAGCATTAGGGAAATTACAACGCATCTTCTCGTCAGGTTTACCTCAAAACCTGAAAACTAAGTTGTACAACCAGTGTCTGTTGCCAGTGATGACCTACGGAACCGAGACGTTGTCCTTCACTGCTGGCCGTATGAGGACGCTCAAAGTAGCTCAGCGAGCTATGGAGAGGGCTATGCTCGGAGTTTCTCTGCGTGATAAACTTAGAAATGAGGATATCCGCAGTAGAACCAGAGTGACCGACATAGCCTAACGGATTAGTAAGCTGAAGTGGCAATGGGCCGGCCATATAGCTCGAAGAACCGACAACCGTTGGAGAAGAAGGGTTCTCGAGTAGCAGCTTTGTACCGGTAGGCGAAGTGTAGGGCGACCCCCCACTAGATGGAGTGACGACCTGGTAAGACATGCAGGAAGTCGATGGATGCAGGTGGCTCAGGACCGTGCTTTGTGGCATACCTTGGGGGAGGCCTATGTTCAGCAGTGGACTTGTGAAGGGCTGTAATGATGATGATGATGAAATAGACTATCTCTTAGCCATCTTGGTATTTAGAATTTACACTCACAATCAATCAATACATGTCAAAAATAATCAGTAATAATAATAAAAAAGAATCCATACGACATTTGTGCACAGACAGGCACTATGTTTTACCGGAACTAGTGAAAGGTTTTACATCGATTAAATATTTATAAATGCTGAATATACCTACAGCTTAGTTTTA